TWWTTTTWAAAAAAGACGTGGYCGTTCGTTCAGTRGTKAATCCATCTTGCTAATGTAAAGTCGGCTTAAGATGAAGATGAGCTCGCAGCAGAGCAGCAGCTGATCAGTTCAGCAGGCAGAAGCTCATTGTTTGGCAGATATTAAAGCAAAAATGTTGGGTTTAATTAAGATTACAGTTTTCTGCAAAAAAAAAAAAAGCTCTAAAAATATTATCTTTACTTTTTATGATAATTTTCTACCGCGATGTATACCGTTACCATGAAGGGGTTAAATTTATACCGTGATATGAATTTGAGGTCATACCGCCCAGCCCTACTAGTCATAAAATCAATTTCAGATACTTGGAATAACTGTGGTGAAGCTGATTAAGTGTAAAAGCAGCCTGCCGTACACGTGAGCTTCCTCATGTTGCTGAAATGATCTGTTGTGCATCCAGAGCWGAACCTTAATGTTAAATCAGCAAGATGGACTTGAGAGTGAGRAACCGTCCACATTTCATCTCCACAATTAAGAAAAAAAAAAAAAAGCTGCACTTTTACAAAAAAATCAGGTCACACTCTAGAGTCCTGTCATCAGAAAATCTGTCTGTGGAACCCACAGCCTCTGAACTAACGAGTGATCATCAAAACTGCTATCTCTGCCTCTCTGATGGTATGGGGGTGCATTAGTGCTTCTGTCATGGACAGCTTACACATATGGAAATGCTCCATTAGTTGGTTTTCTAACGTCTCACACTGTAGCATAACAAAATGGCTTCACCGTAGAACACTCCGGCCTCCCCGCAGCCCAGACCTCATTAATAATTTGGCCCATCACCCTGGACTMATGTTCATTTTAGTTTCTGTCTGTAGAACCTGCTGTAAGTCTGTGTGCGCTCCACGTACCTTTCAGGTGGGTTTCTGAAGTTCTTGTTGGTGTAAATTTCCTCTAAACTAAACTGCTTCTTCTTCAACCTGCAGAGTGACAGAAAACAGAGGAATGCTGCAGTTCACCACAAACTACACAGAATACATATACTGTAATGTATTAATATAAATTAATCCTAAGCGTAATAAATGATCACTAAATTTAGACAAAACAAATTATACGAACGAACGGCCGATGTTTCGTTTGGAGTTGATGGTGTTGAGATTTGTAAAGTCAGTGAGGTAAAGTTTTTGGGAGTTATTACTGATGAAAACCTGACCTGGAAACCTCATATAAATTACTTAAGAACAAAAAAGGCAAAATCTATTGCAGTACTACATAAGGTAAAGGAGTTATTTAATGATAAAGCACAATTTATATTACAGAATGCAATAATTGTTCCACATTTGATTTATTGTGTTGAAGTCAGGGGGAAGGCATGTAAAACAATTACAAATTGTATTCTTCTTTTGCAAAAGAGAACCATAAGAATTACAAGAAAAGTTTATGGTCACCCATCAAGTAAGTAAGTAAGTACGTACGTAAGTACGTAAGTAAGTAAGTAAGTAAGTAAGTAAGTAAGTAAGTACGTACGTAAGTAAGTAAGTAAGTATGTATGTATGTAGGTATGTATATTAGGGGTGTAAGAAAATATCGATACACTGAAATATCGTGATATTTTATTTCCCAATACTGTATCAATATTCTAAAGCCCTGTATCGATTTTTAATTAAGGTTTAAAAGTTTAAAATGTCAACTTTCCTGCCAGCCGTTCATTTTTATGTTGTAGTTCAGCCTCTGACCACTAGTTGGCAGCAGTGAGCCAGACATTTGGCTCCTCTACCTCTTGAGCGCCAGAGAGTAAGGGTAGCATTAGCATTGTGAGTAAACATTAACTTTTCTTTTTTTTTCTGTAAGAGGTTTTTATTTAATAGAATATTTGGACAAAAAAATCACAATATATCACAATATATTGCCTTGCTTACAGTATCGCAATATATCAGGATATATCGTATCGTGACCCCCCTGTTATGAGATGTATCGTATCGCCAAATTCTTGCCAATACACAGCCCTTGTGTGTGTGTGTGTGTGTGTGTGTGTGTGTGTGTATGTATATATGTATATATTTATTTTTTTTTGTCAAATGGGGCAGATATAAGATTTTTTTCTTTTTCTCTCATTTTATTTTTAACTGAAATGAATAAACCTAAATAAAAATAATAAAATTAGACATTTAAAATTACCTTCAAGGTTCGTCTGTTTTTTTCCTCTTTCTTTCTTTCTTTCTTTCTTTCTTTCTTTCTTTCTACATGTTGTTTAGATAAAGAAAAAGTAGTCTGATCAACCTTGAACTCTAAGCTGTTTCAGACAGACCTGATGGGTTTGGGCAGACCCATGGGCGTCAGGTTGGTCTGAGGTCTGGGTAAAGTTTTCCGGATTTTGATAGAAGACACCTTTCCTCGTTCCTCGCGTTTCTTCCCAACCTGTGATGAAAAATTAGAAATTTTAACATTTATGATTCTCACAAAAGTATAAACAAACATCACTAATAATTAAGCTACTTTCCCCAACAAATGATCTATGATATTTTTATTAATCAGCAGTAAAACCAACAGAACTAGTACAGGTAATTTAAATCGTGCGTACTTTTGTTTCAAAATCAGACACGGCTTTTTCCTCTCTCGCGCAAACATCTTCAAACTCCTGACTGGAGGAACTCGTGTCCTCGCCATCATCTTCCTCTTCGCTTTGCTGCCTCCTCTCCTCCTCACAGCGTAAGGGATTCTCACTTTAAAAGAAGCAGAGCTGATGAGACAGAACTATGGATCACATATTGATCAGATGCTGCTGCTGACTGATCCATGATGTGATGTAAATGTAACATTTTCTATATATAGGTCAAATTAATCACTGCAATAAAATAACTTTGTTTGTTTTTGTCACTTTTACAGTGGATTGCATCAACTCTGTTACATCCAGAAGGGAAACTTCACCAAAGTGAAACATAAATCTGTGGATCTGTGTTTGATTACTCTGCCTGGCTTTCTCAAGGACCAGGATGTGACACAAAAATCTGAATTATGGAACTGAAAGTGAAAGTAGTCAAACTGAATTTTTAATAAACCAAAATACAGTTTCAAAGCAAATTAATTCAGATACAAAACTTTAAATTCAGTTTCAATTTAGAGAAATTTATTTTAAACCAAAACATTCAATTTCAAATTATGAACATTCAGATTCGATCTGAGCAATTCAACTTCAATTCCTGTTGGCACAAGATTAATCGCGTACAGAATGGAGAACTGTGAGTTTGAACTGTGAGAAGCGTCTTACCTGCTGCAGGACTCTAAAGCAGCAGCAGAGCCGGCTGTGGACATGAAGACTAAAGGACGCCACGTCGAGGAGCTTGATGGGGATGTTACCGAGGAAGAGGAGGGAGGAGAAGCGTGACTAGGAGCGGCAGCGGCTCCTCTGCAGTCGGACCTCTTGGAGAGGAAAGCCAAGGGGCTGGACAGGAAGCAGGAGGCGAGAGCTGAGAGGGAGGTGCTGGGAGTGTGTGAGTGACTTGGAGACATGTGCAGAGCGGCGGGGAGCCATCTTCTGGARGGGTACACCTCCTTCCTGAGACAGAGCGGGGCGATCTCCCTCTCCACCTCCACGCTGCACACCGTGTGCCTGCGAGCTCGCCTCAGGGGTTTGTGGGAGTGACCGTGGTGCTGCGGCACCTGCGTCCTGCTGGCGTGCGGTGAATTCGGAGACGTCCAGGTGGAGTCGTGGGGCCGGAGGGACGGGATCTCCGGACAGGAGTAGCTGCGCAGCAGGCGCACCGAGGAGCTGCTTCCTGACGAGGCCAGATCCGTGTCCTCCATCGTGACGGACTTCAACCCCTCCACGCTTGTGTGACTGCGACCGGGCAGCGCCCTGCTTCTCCTCCTGTGGTTATCTGCTCGTCGGCACCTCACGACGGCGTCTCTCGCACCACGGCTGCAGGTTGTGACCTCAGTGTCTGTGAGGAAGATCTCATCCACCACAGAGGCGACAGAAACGTCTTTTAGCTGCACGTAACAGTCCAAGTTAAGCTGGGGGTTACTTTCAACAAGAGTCATTTCAAAATATGCAGAATCTGCTGTGTGGCTTTGGTTCTCTTTGGTTTTTGAGTTGAATTTGCTGATTTGTTTTGTCGCCTCTTGAGTTTGGCTGAACCCCGGAGACCTCCCAGCGGCCCTGAGACCGTCTCTGGATCTCTTGGACGGTCGGCTCAGCGCTGCAGCGTCGGCTCTTTGTGCWCCCTGAGAGGAGCTGAGATCCAGAGTCACGGGTTCTAACGATGAGCTCTCTGTAACACAACTCACACGGGTTATTTTACGTTTTATCGGCTTCTTGCTCGCATCGCCGGGCTGCTTTATGTTTGGACGGAGGAGAGCTTCGGTGATCGGCGTGGTCGTTTCCAGATCCATCTCATCCGCTCTGAAAAGACTTTTCTTCGGTCTCGAGGACGATCCGGCGGGCTTCGCTCGGCCGCTCTTCGGTTCTTCTCGTGGCTCCAGGCTGTCTGTCTCAAACGAACACATGAACATGGCTTCAGATGGTTCTGTCTGATGGATCGTCGCCGCTTCTTCGTTTTTTCCTTTTCTCCTAGACTTTGTGAGCACGGCTGGTCTTTTGTCGTCGAGCCGTATTATTTCCTCTTCGCGTGTCGTGGTGTTCATCGAKGCCGCCCCCCTTCTCGACGCTCTTGAATCTTTATGCAAAGCCACGTGGAAAAGCCGCGGGGGTTTTGTATTGTCCGTCACTTTTTTCCTCTTAGCGGAGCCTTGGGGGTGACAGCTCGGCTTCAAACCCCTCTTCGGCCGCACGGCGTCCGAGACTGAACACACCTCGGAGTCCAGCTGGGACTGGGTCTGCTGCGTGTCCAGAAAAGGTTTATTTGTCTCGTCAAGCAGATTGTTCTGACTTTCATCAGCACTGTGAGGGTGGACTGAGGCGTTCATGTCTCTGGAGTCACATTGAGGCTGTTGATGTTTGTCCTCAGAGTTAACGCTCTTTGACTCGGATCCGTTCCTTTTAACCGGTCCGGACAGTGGTGTCAYGCAGGAGGTGTCCCGCTCGGCTGATTTTAAATCAGCCTTTTGTGAGGCACTTACTTTGGCTAAAGACTGTAGGACGAAGGAGTCAAAAGGTTTGGATAAAACACCGGCTAAAGGCACTGAATCCTTTGGATTTATTGCTGGCTCGGCTGCACATCCAGAACAACGTGATGTAAACGTTTTTATCAAACAACCGGAATCAAGAATTTCAGCACTTTGTGTTCCTKCACAGTCACTAAGCCCTCGCTGATCAGTACTGCTGTCCAGATCCTTGCTTTCAACCAGTCCTCCTGGATGAAACTCGTCTCCTCCCTCTGCGGGCTCTGCATCGGCCCGTAGCTCAGAGTCACCGGGTGGGTTCAGACGGTCCATGGAGGGCGGAGGGCTGCTGGCTCTGAACAGTTTCACAGGAGACATGACGATCTCAGTAAAGCTGGCCATCTTTGACTTCAGCGACTGGAACAACGGGCCGATGACCCATCCCGTCGGGGCGGACGTACTCTCCATGACATCCACGACCGGCGAGACGCCGCTCGTTTCCATGTCGGGCGTGTCCGCTTCYAGACGTTGCATCTTACTTTCTTCAAATGACTTCACTGCATTTTCACCAGGAGATAAAAGAGGCTTCAGCTGCAGGTCCTGTTGCCTATAAAGAAAAAAGAAAATGAGACGCAAGTTTCAGAGAAATAAAATCTTCTTTGTCAGAGTTGCAGTAAAGTAGGTTTCTATCACTTACTTATCCGCTGTAAAACTGACTTCAAATCCATTCTGCAAATCAAACACAAAGTTTTACAGTTTGGATGCAATAAAACTACAAGATCTATTTATTTATTCCTCAACTGTCCCTCGGAGCCCGCAAGGAGACATGGGAGGGATTTTTTTATTCTGCGTTCCCTCGCAATACTTCTGCGTTCCCTCGCAATACTTCTGCGTTCCCTCGCAATACTTTTGCGTTACCTCGCAATATTGTTTTGCGTTACCACACAAAAAATTGTTTAGACTTTTATTTTGAAATATCCGGTTACCAAAAATATACTTCCATGCGTGGCTGTGTGATATATTCATTCTGAAGCTGAATTAAAGTAGTAGGTTAACTCGCTAATGGTGAGCAGGTGAATGAGTTAATAAAKCGACAGGCACAACAGTGATAAACGACTTTTTRGAGGGAACGCTAAACGTATTGTGAGGTAACGCAATACTTTTGTGTGGGAATGCAAAAAGAAAAAAAAAATCCCCCATGTCCCCTCGCGGGCTCCGTATAAATCAAAGCTATCGCAGTAGTTTCTAAAAAAACAAACACACCACAGCTAAAGAAAACTGTGGATTTTCCTCTACGGGTAAAGTGATCAATAAAGACACTTCATTCTGTCTGCAGAGTGTTTGTAGGTCAAACACGATGCTCAACTGCTCGTTTGCATCAGATGCAGCAGACCGTAAAAGAGGATTAAATCACTCAATTAACCTTCACACCTATTTAGCTAAACACAAATACAGTACAGCGCTCTGTAAAGTCAAATTAGGCAGGGAACACTTGAAAGCATTAAACAGTAGAGGAGTGTGGTTCTGTCAGGAACGTAACGGTGTTGGACAGAAAACGGACCTCGTTGTGTTTCTCAGTTCTTCCAGCTCCTGGCAGCTTGAGCTGAGGCGCTCGCGCCTGCAAAGAAAAGAGAAGCGCTTCAGCGAAAACTTGTTCTGCGACCGCTCGTCTGGACGTAAAAAATCCACTTCGTACCACGGTTACCCTCTCCGGGTGTCTCTTCGTCGGGGATGGATTCGGCCTGGATGGTTTCCGGGCCGTTTGGAGGTCCTGCTTTTTGGGCGTTTTCGCTCTGATCTCTTGGATGCGTCCGCTCCTCCTGTGGCCAGACTGTCCATCATTTGCAGAGCTGCAAATAAAATAAAAACATAAAATGCTGAGTGTACTTGTACAATGAATCACTGACAAATAACAAGAGATAATGATTTTACAGAAAACATTTTTTGAAGCTTTTTAAAAAATTAATTTGTCAATCATTTTGTCTTACAAAAATATTACACCAAATAAAAAAGGTAGGGCTTTCCTCTCTGTTGGTGCCTGAACCAGTGACCCACAAACCACACTGCAAAAACTGTCCGTGTAACCAAGTTTTAAAACCTTATATCAGCCAAAAAGTCTTTTTTTCATCTTGTTTTGAGACTGATTTACTAAACAAGAACAGAAAGTGTAGAATAATAATCTTGTTTTCAGAATCTGTAAGATTATTTGTCTTGTGCTAGCCTGGAAATTTGACTCAAATTAAGTGAAAATTTTCTGCCAATGGAGTAAGAAAATTTTACTTGGTAAGATTCTTATAATACTTGATTTGATTCAAAATTTTCCTATTTCAAACATCTTACCAAGTAAAATTTTCTTACTCCTTTGGCAGAAAATAGTCACTTAATCTGAGGCAAATTTTCAGGCTAACACAAGATAAATATTCTTACACATTCTGAAAAAGAGGATTATTATTCTGTTCCTGTTTAGTAAATCAGTCTCAAAACGAGAWKAAAAGACATTTTGGCTGGATATAACATTTTAAAAGTTGGTTAGATGGACAGTTTTTGCAGAGCAGTTACAATTTTACAGAGCAAAAAAGGGACGAGATTGGACTGTAAAGGAAAATAAAAAAGTGCCACAATAACGATACCTGAGGGTGATGGAGGGAAAGGAAAGGAGAGGTGGTGGAGGTGCACTACAGACAGGGTTTGGGGGAATAACATCTTCATCCATTGGACAAACTATCAGAGTAAATCAAAGGGGGGAAAAATCAACATCATCTTCKTCTTACACATCTAAACAACAGCTTTAAAGGAGAATAAAAGTAAAATAAAAAATAAAAACAAAACAAGACATGCTGGATTTATCACATCAAGGTCCTAAAGATGAAGTTTCACTTACTTTACACTGTGAAGGGATTTGAGTCTGAAATAAAGAACAAAACTGATAAAAATGTTTGCATACAGCGGGTAAAATAAGTATTGAACACGTCACCATTTTTCTCAGTAAATATATTACTAGAGGTGCTAATGACATGAAATMTTCACCAGATGTTGGTAACAACCCAAGTGATCCATACATACAAAGAAATCAAACCATAAATGTCCAGAAATGAAGTTATTT